GCCAAATGTGAACTACATTTCCCATGGTGATTTGCCAGCATTATTGCTGTAAGAGCATTATGGGAAATGTAGTCCACAACATCTGGAGGACCGAAGGTTGCCTCCCCCTGGTCTATGCAATTCAAATAATTTGTTCTTTATGGATCCTATTCCCATGGAATTGATTTTTGGAAGATTGAAAAGAGGTGTTGAAGCTAAATAAGTGGAACTTTTTATTCTGGCATTGGATACATGGGCAATAAAGTAAAAGTATAGTTTAGCATTTGGGCCTTAAGAGGTTAATATACAGTACAATTAAAATAAAATTATGCTTTACATGCAAAATGGTTAACACAAGTTCTAGGTGATTTTCAATGTTTTACTTAATAGTGCAATTTCCCTTGTAATTCTTTTGACAGTCAGCCTACCATTAGAATACTTTATTTCAATTAGGTTATTAAAATATATAATAAAGGCGTGCACTATTTCATGCAGTCAAGCAGTAAACCGTTTATTTAGACGTCTCCTTTTAATTCCTTTCATTCTACCAAATAACAATATTTTATCTGTTTTATTTTTTAGTGTTGCGTTCGGAAAGCCTGAGCTCCTAGAAAGAAGCAAATGATTGAACAATGACAATTTAACCACTTCTAATCTAAATTATTGTTATTATTATACTATTAAAATCCTTATTAGTGACAAATCGGAGTTGGGTGTTAACACAGACACAGATTTCTTTTAGAAGTCTTATTGTTCTGTGGAATTATTATAATATTAAAGTCAAATTCATAATATACTTCATAAATGCCTTGCCACAGTATCACATATGATGCGAGATGGTGGCACATTTCTAAAGGGTGAAATAAATGAATACATATTCATGAATACACAGTTGAAACATAGATTGCAGTATGTTTCCAGAGAGAAAGCTATAAGAAAGGTAATATTTATATTTGGACTAACACCAAGAAACTGGCTAAGGAATATTTAGATTTAAAAAAAAAAAATACATTCTTGATAGACTCTCGTGTAAGCTTGTAATGTATATCTGTCTTACCAGGCGTCCCCTCGTTAGCTCTCCAGGTAGGCATGAATAAAGGACCTCTCCCACAAACGTCCAAGTGCTTGCAATAAGAACTGTATTCTGTAGCAAAAAAATGCTACCAGTAATACATCTAACAGAATAATATACATTTGTATTGTTCTACAGAAAAGCCAGAGGCAAAAAACACGGGGGATGCCCAAGAAAAGGGGTAATGTTTTGTACTAAAAAAAAAAAAAAACCCAAACACTCGAAACTCGAGAATAAAATGAATTAAGCTAAGCTCTTTGGATGTGTACTACTATGTGTACTCCCCTAATGTGAATTTCAATAAAAAGTTAAGTATTATATTATACCAGACTGTCTATAGTGCTGTTTCATTACAGAGGCTGTTCTACCAAATGTATTTGTATTTCTGATATTCTGGACACATTTCCCCATGGGAAACAATGGTTGTTTGGATGCATGGTCGATATCTTCCATGTCTAAGTATTTTCCCAAATACACATTTATATAAAAAAAAGAGATAGAAGTTTTATAGTCTTATTAGTTATATTAGTGAAATCACACAAGAAAACTTGTTCAAGGGTAAGTCATTTTTCCAGCAAGCAATTGGGCTGGCTCAGTTAAATTTTTAGTTGCATAAGGTCAGTGATCTTTTATTAGTTATCTGGTATATTTTAAAGGGACACTATAGTCACCAGAAGAACTATAGCTTAATGTAGTTGTTCTGGTGAGTATAGT